TTATTGCCGAGTGTAAAACGACTTCAACAACAAAACTTCAGTTGTTACTGCCAACCACTTCGACTTATTTTAAGGTCATCATCAAGGCAAAACAATCTACAAAGTGGCATAATTAAGTTTTTAGTAGATGGTTTCAAATTTATTTGAAGACTGAGTGTGACAGGCCTTGTCATTGTAGGAACAGAGTTTATCTCAATATGAATATTAAACACTTTTCTATCTAAAAATTTTTCTTAAATGTATAGCGTAACTCCTTACCATAAATGATGATAAATAACTGCTCAAATGGTAAACCAAGCCACTCTCAAAGATTTGACAAGATCTGTCCACACAAGAGAATCAAATACAACAGAAACTCTCCATGGTGGAACAGTGAATTAACTTCAATGAGGAAAAAACTAGAAGACTTTTTAACAGGCAAAATGCTCAGCATATGGGATGCATATAAAAAAGGTCAAGCTGAATGTAATAAAGCACTGAAGAAAGCTAAACAAACCTCATTGAAAAAATTCTGTGAAGGTATAAGCACTTGGCCTGAAGCAGCAAGATTACAAAGCATTCTGCTCTTTTAAGAAATAATAGAAACATAACAGACAGTATGAAAAAGACCCTATAAGTGTTACAAAGAACACACTTCTCGGCTCCACTCCAATTGATCCAGTGAAAACACACATAGGTCATCGACAAAAAAAGCCACATAACCTCTCTGGCCATAGTTTACTTCAAGCCATATAAATGAAAAGGAGAAGATGACATATTTCCTGCCTTCTACAGCAAGGGAAAGATATTCTGCTAAGATCCTTAGTAGAAATATTATGAGCAAGTTATACTCTCAGTAAATAACAATCAGCGAGATATGAGTGATCTTTATTCCAAAAGGCGATAAGAATGGCCCCTCACTTCCAAAATCATACAGACCTGTCAGCCTTGCCCCCTTTATCCTGAAAACGATGGAGAAAGTAATTGATCTGCACATAAGAAGTGACCCTTTAATAAAACCTCCGCTCCATAAGCAATAATTTGCTTATAAAAGAGGCAAATCCACCAAAAATAGAAAACTCAATCTTTATCAAAGAAATTGATTTATATGTGATTTCATCAATATAAAATGGAAATTTGATAAAACCTCATATGAATCGATTAAAGCCATGGCTGCAAATAAAGGAATTGAAGTAATTGAACCAACAACTATACAATAGTTTCACATCATGCTAATTAGCCAAAAACAAAATTATATCTTGGGAATGTAAAACTCCCAATTCAACCACTTAGCCGAAGAATGAAAAAACAATAGACAGAGGCTTCACAATTATTTTTGTCTTGTCCTTAAGACACTTATAATATCTGATAGAAAATGGAAATTATTTCTTTGGATGTTTCAAAAGAGCCAGTACATATTCAGTTCAATCTGGATAGTTTTTTTCTTAAATGTCCAAAATGTTCTAATTCATTACATACTCCGCAATGACAAGAATGATCCAAAGATAGTAATAACTAATACAACTACTGATACTAAACATTGAAGCATTTAGGGACGCAACACAAATATTTATACATGACATAGCTAATAGAAAGATATTTTTTTGATTTTTAATGCAAAATCAAGGGATGGAGGACAATTCTTCTAAACTTTTCCTTAAGACACTTATAACGCAAAATGTGTGCATAGAAAATAGGAATATTGTGTTGTTTCAATTCCACTAGTACAATTCTACACTAAAACCCCAAAATGTGTCTTTCTATTGGTCTATCGTCTATTATCAAATAAAACATTTTTTTAGTTTTGAACTGTGTTGACATCCTAAATTTCCTGGGATCTAGTATCATAGTAGTATTAGTCATTACTATCCTTGGAGCGTTCTCATCATTACAGAACATAATGAAATAGAAAATGTTGGACATTTAAGAAAAACTATGAAATTGAAAAGTGTAAAATATTCTGTACTGTAATTTGAAACATCCCAGGAAATTACATTTTTCCTCTATGTATATATTTTGTTTTATAAGTGTATTAAATTTTCAAACAAGTCTAAAATAATGTGAAGCCTCCATTTATTGAATTTTTCATTAAAAACCCCTATAATATCTTTGTTGGATATGTTCAAGTATAAAATTTTGTGTTTTGAACTGTGCTGAGGTGCTAAATCTCCTGAGATAACTATCACTAGTCAATACTATCCTTGGAGCATTCTATTCATGATGATACATATAATGAAGTAGAAAATTTTGGACATTTTAGAAAAATTGTTAGATTGAAAAGCGCAGAATATTTTGAACTTGCTCATTTGAAATATCCCAGGAAATTATTCCTACTTCCTATGAACACATTTTGCATTATAAGTGACTTAAGGACAAGTCGAGAATAATTGCGAAGCTGCCTTCATGATTAGTATCATGGTAGGACTAGTCATTACTGTCCTTGGAGCATTCTTATCATTGCAGAACATACACTGACAGGCAAAAAATTCCACCCAATTGATTTTTGTTAATTTTCTCAATAAAAGAAAATTCTGCCCTTAATTTGTCTCATTGTTTTTATCAATAAATATTTGTTTATGCTATGTTTTAAATTGGGAATATCAATTAGCGGTAAACACACTTAATCCTTAATCCGAAACAAGGATAAAGGATTTTTCAATGTTCACTTTTTACAGAATTTAAATTGTTTATTCAGTCTCATTTAAATTCTGAAGCAATAAACTGTTTAGTTTTCATCTGTTTTCTTAATTTCAATGTTTAAACTTAAAAATGCCACTTAGTGCTAAGGATGTTGCGAGTGGTGTGGCACTTATTGATGATAGGCATCATGTATGCGGCTATTGCCATCGGAGTTCCCTATGAAACACTGCGAGACGCCGTTAATCGTTTTTGAAAAACTGGGTCCTACGATAGAAGGCCCGGTTCTGGATGTCCTAGGGTAACAGAACCACAGGATGACCATTTTTTGACTTAGGGAATTTTGCGAGACCGGCACCTTACTGTTGTTCAAGCGATTCATCAGCTCCAGGAAGTTCGTGTCCGAATTTCTGAACGCACTGCTCGAAGAAGATTAACTCAGTATGGACTGATGGCTTTTCGCCCCGTAAGAGGACCAGAACACACAGAGTAGCACAGCTCACATGTGCTCGAGAACTCTCTCTTGGTCTTTGGACGATTGGACTGCTGTACTTTTTACGGATGTGTAGATTTGCTCTACGAACTCTAGGTGGGCGTGGAGAAGGCGAAATGAAAATTACGAAGCCTGTAATTTATCCCAGAGCCAACCTTTTCAATGTAGCTCAGTCATGGTGTGGCCAGAAATTTCAATGGAGAGTCGCACAGAGTTGGTTGTTGTTCGCGGAGGGTCTTTGACAGCCTCTCCCTATGTGGACGAAATTTTGGAACATGCGCTGCCTATCCTCTCTGAAATCAGCGACAATCCAATTCTAATGCACGATAATGCCCTTCCACATGTTGCTCTCATAGTACAAACATTCAACAGCGAAATATCAGGGTCTTAACCTGGCCAGCCTGTTCTCCAGACTTGAACCCCATCGAACATTTATGGGATAACACCAAAAGACGAATAAGCGCCCATCACTTCCTGATACACTCCACGATCTTGACAGGTCTCTTCATGAAGAATGGGCTAACTCCAACAAAGAGACATTTCCAGACTCGTAGAAAGTATGCTGAGGCATATTCAAGATGTAATTAACGCAAGGGGAGGAAATATGCCATACTGAAATGTTAACTAAAAATCTATCGGTTTTTTTTCTTTATTTTTCATTTTACTTAGCAATTTACTTTTTTCCTTTTTTAGACAAAGACTCAATTAATAAACATTAAAAATGTGAAACTTTGATAAATATATAAAAATATATACAAATCAAGATATATTACAAGTGGGTGGAATTTTTTGCCTGTCAGTATATAATAAATTAGAAAATTTTGGGCATTTTAGAAAAACTGGTAGGTTAAAAATGCAGAATATTCTGAACTGGCTCATTTGAATTACCCCAGGAAATCACTTCGATTTCATATGAACACATTTTCTGTTATAAGTGTTTTAAGGACAAGTCGAGAATAATGATGAAGCTTCCATCATGAATATATGATGGTATACTGGTCATTACAGCCCTTGGAGCATTCTTATCATTGCGGAACATATATCGAATTAAAAAATTTTGTACATTTTAGGAAAATCGTTAGATTGAAAAGTGCAGAATATTCTGGTGGCTCATTTGAAACAGCCTAGGAAATTATTGCTATTTCCTACGAACACATTTTGCGATATAAGTGTCTTAAGGACAAGTCGAGAATAATGATGAAGCTTCCTTCATGATTAGTATCATGGTAGTGCTGGTCATTACAGTCCTTGGAGCATTCTTATCATTGCGGAACATATTATAAATTAAGAAAAACTATGATATTCCAAAATGGTATGAAATATGTTTTAAACGCTCCTTCGGAATCTGATGTTATTTTAAAATGAGTAATAGCTATGAAATCATAGATAAAATTGTTGATTGAATATTTACGGATTCCTAGATGTTATCTAATGAGCGCATTCAGGCGTATAACTTTTTTTTAAATGGACGTCGCCGTGTTGTAAAACTCGAAGAAAAAAATTTCGACATTTGATTTTCGGAGGGAAAACTTGAAACATTGAAGACGTATTTTATCGATTTCGTTTCGACCGGGCATTTAGAATTTGTGTAAAAGCGTCGTTAATTTAAAAAAAGAAAAAGAATCTGCCGGTTTTCCGTAAAGGTCGTGAAAGACTGAGCGCCGCGCCTTCGTCAAAGGAGTGAAAAATCCTGAAAATGGGAAAATCACGGTAGGGCGGCAAAACCCCGGCGGAAGGGGGGAGAAGCGAAATTGCAGTGAAACGTCACAATTGTGAAATATCTGAAAGGTCGTCTGCGATTCGAGGATGAACTGTGACGAGACGGATTTCCTCCAATCAGGTGGCTCGTTAGAAAACGCTAAGCCGCAAGGCCGGCCGTCAGAGTTCGCCGTACTCGCCGCCCCCTCTTCGTCGCCGACGTCTGCCGAAACTCGACCCCCGTTCACAACAAAGTCCTCTCGCGAGTCCGACGGCCGTTCACGCCCACTTCGCCCGACTTGAACACCTCTCACAACTTCATTCACAGAGACAGACGACAGAGACGATGGCCGAAACAGGAAATCCCATCTATGGACCGTTCTTCGGCGTCATGGGTGCCGCTTCGGCCATGATTTTCAGCGGTGAGTCGATCCATTTTCAACCAGTTTTTTCCCCACTTTTAAGTCACGTTACCGTTAGAAAAGTTATTTTCTTTAAATCGGCCGAGTTTTACTTCTGACAGGTTGTCTTACAGACGAACCCGTCCTACAGACAATCCCCGTATCGATTAGTCCTTTATACTTGGAAAAACTTCACCCGTCAAACCTCAGAATCTTAATAAAAACAGAAAACTTATTCACTTGTACCAAAAGAAAAAAAAACACTAATAAGAAATCGTTTTTGAAATAAATTTGTCTCGAGGTTCGAAACGATTTCTTTTTTTTTATAAATTGAAATTGTAAAAGTGTCAGGGCGCAGTAGCTGGTCGGACGATGGCCGCGACCATGTGATCTCAACTGTCAGACGGCCATCGGGGAAGAAAATCCCCGACAGATAGTCAAGGAAAATCCATTTTCCGGTTTTTCTCTCATTCTACGGGAAATTAAATTTTAAGCTTTTTTTCTCTCGTGTCTCCGTCGTCCAGGGGGAAATGTCAGAATATCCGGCCGAGAAGGGAAACGCCCACTTCGGCCCGTCGGGTTTTTTCCTCTCTTATGTTTCGTCTTGTCCAAACATTCAACCCTTTGTACTGAGATTTTAATAATTTTCACCAAGTGTTTTCAGCTAGTATAAAAAAAGAAAAACGGGTTTTTCTTATCGAAGTGGATTTTTTTTGGTCTTTTTCCGAGATAAAATATTCGCCATTTTTTCACCATTGACGGTGATCATGATTCATCCCTTACCGATGGGAAAACGTACCTCGACGTTTTCTAAAATTCCACATTTTTCCATTAAAAACTAACAAAATCTAACGATATCTCATCCCTGATAAAATCATTAAAAAAAATGATAAACTCAAAATCTACTTTTTAGTTAACAAGACCAGTTGGTGGACAAACAGGTGGTTAGGGTGGTCAAATTATACCAACTTCGCCTTCTTATCAATAAATAAAATGTTATAGAACAAAGCAAACAATTTATTTGCTATTCTACTGTTAATATAATAAACAATAAAATCAAACGTATAAATTTAAAAAAAGAATGTCAAAAGTGGGCGTGGCACATTTCGTACGATTCTTTACTACCAAATCTTAATTAACTTACGTAACTTGTACAATCTAAAAAAAATAACCCTTTCGTTCTTATTTAACTTATTTTGTAAGAAAATCGAATTTTGGCAAAAAATTCGAACAGGAAACGTAACCTACGATCAGGACATTTGAGATTTTCCAAAATGAGAGAAAAAAGTTCTTTGAAGTAAGTCAGGCTTTTTATTGTCCACTTATATTCTTTATTAGTTAAAATTAAAGTTGAAACAAATCTGAGAACGTATTTCGACTTCAATTGAATATTCTTGATTCGTTACGAACCGTGGTCGTCCAATTTCATTAAAAAAAAAACGTTTTGTACAATTTGATAAAAGATTAACGTGCAAGTTGTTCCAACCTTGAGAAATAATTTCCGATAATTGATCCGTTTTTTCTTATTTCAAATAAACTCATGGTTGATTCTCTAATCTGCTTACTCGTTTCAAAAAACGGCGTTTGGTAGAATAAAAAAGTTTTTGAATAGTTCAACAAAGAGAAAAATTTGTCCTAAGCAGCGGCACGCCCCCTTTTAGTTCAGACATGCTTAACCTTCTCTTTATTTTCACTTCTTTTTTTTTTTTTTTTTAAATCAAACCGGTTTATTCTCTAATTTGCTCACCCTTTAAAAAACCAAAACAATAAAAAACACGGATTCGGATGAATAAAAACTTCTTAATTTTTTAAAAAGATGAAAGATTTGTCCTAAGCAGAGGCATGCCCCCTTTTTGTTCACACATGCTTAACCTTCTCAGTTATTTTCACTTTTTTTTAAAGCCCAATCCCGAGTTTTCTTGATTTCTTACGAACTGTAACATCGTTCGAATTGCATTTAATAAAAAAAGTTTTGTATAATTTGATAAAAAATTAACATACAAGTTGTTCCAAACATGAGAAATATTTTCCAATGATTCACCCGTTTTTCCTTATGGCAAATAAACTCTTGCTTGATAATTTAATCTGCTCACTCGTTTTAAAAAACGGCGCGTTTGGTGGAATAAAAACGTTTTTGAATTGTTCAACAAAGAGAAAAATTTGTCCTAAGCAGAGGCACGCCCCTTTTTTGTACCGACATGCTTAACCTTCTCTTTTATTTTCACTTTTTTAGAACCCAAGTCGGTTTATTCTCTAATCTGCTCACCCTTTAAAATAAATCGAAACAACAAAAACACAGATTTGGATTAATAAACACTTTTTAATTGTGTAAAAAGATGAAAGATTCGTCCTAAGCAGAGGCACGCCCCCTTTTTGTTCAGACATGCTTAACCTTCTCTTTTATTTTCACTTTTTTTTCAACCCTAGCCCCGAGTATTCTTGATTCCTTAGGAACTATAACATCGTTCAAGTTGCATTCAGTAACAAAAAGTTTTGTACAATTCCATAGAAAATTATATGTACAAGTTGTTCCAACCTTGAGAAATAATTTCCAATAGTTGACTCGTTTTGTTGTATTTCATCAAAACCCCTGGTTTATTTTGCAATCTGCTCACCCTTTAAAAAATAAAACAATAAATAAGAAAACAGCACACACTAAACACTACAAATTTTTTCTTTTTTTGCTCTCTGTTTCTTCTTAAAAAACATACCTTGTATGTTCTATGTGCCACGCCCCCTTTTTCTGTTCTATTTTCCATTTCAATACGACAAAAACATCTTATCATTTTGTCACAGTTATTCAGAAGATAAGGAAATCTTCATTAAAACTGTCAATTAATCCAGAAATAAATGAAAATTTGTGAAACTCTGTTAAAATATGTACATGGATTTTTTTCCATTAATGTCCTTGTTTAAGAGATGTTTAGAGGTTTTATTTCGACAGAATGAACGTTGAGAAAAATTCTTCACACATCCCAAGGCTGTTCAAGGTTTAATGAAAATCATTGTCCTTGTCTGAAATCACAGCTCTTTACCTTTTGCAAATGGAAACAGTTCGAATTGTCACCAATGTGAACGATAAACCAAAACAACGAAATCATTTTGATTTAAAAAAAATCTTTTAATAAAAGCAAAAAAAATTCTGAAAGTAAAGTTATCAATCTAATCCAATGTTACTTTGTTTCTCACATTTGCTAAGACTTATCAAATAATCACAGAAATGAAACAAAAAGTTTAATACTAATTATTGAAGCTCAAATCTGTACAGCATGTACATATAGAGTTTGAGCCAATCATTTCTGGCAGTCCATTGTCAATTCCAGCTTTTGTCATTTGCAATAATTTACTGGCAGGCCTCGATAATCACCCACCTCCGGAGTTGGCAGTCCCCTGGGTCAGACCTCGGTTGTCTTACCAAAAAGGCTATGCCGAATACAGGCTAGTATCCATTTACAAAGGACTTATACAGTCATGTTTCTGAATCGGCTTTACTTATGTATAATACTGGTCTATCAGGGGGCTTATCAACTGCTACGTTATTTCAGCCCCTAACACAATCAATTCCTAAAACCTATTGACTCTCTCACTCACTCTTAAATACATTCTTTCTTATATACTACCATTCACTCAGTTGGGGTGGTGTAGTACTTGATATTTCTTGATCACTCTTTACGCCTATTATACAGGGTGTATTGCAAGGAGATGACAATAGCCCTGATTTTATCTACTTTTACACATAACTAACCTAATTAAGAGTTAGTTGGTGAAATACTCAATACTCCACCATCAACCCTTCAAACTATGCATTCACACAATAAATAGAGGTGCGCTTCACATGCACTAACATGAAACTGTCAGTATTGCGAACAATAAAAGGACCTAGTTTCCTCCAAGAATTGGAACAGTGGACCTTACATATATACTCTATGCTGTGCTCAGGCACAATTCTCACATCAGGTGGTGTTCTTGAAGTCGATCATCCTTCAATTAGGTAGCAGTCTTTCTCTTTGCTGGACACACGCGGGCTTTGGCCCAAAATTGTGTCCATGAGTCAACCTTGCATGGCCTATTCATAATCGGGTGAAGATGGCCCCTCTTCTATGAATCGGGTCCCACTTAGGGCCACCTTCGACAGTGTTCTTGATGAGAATTTCTCTACTGACCCGGCCCACTAAAGGTGACACTTTCTTTTAATCATGTTTGTTTTTTAATCATGCCAGGGTACTGAACTCTTAAAATGGATGATGCTCCTGAGGATATGTTACTGTAAGAACCAGTTGTAGAGGTTCTGGACGTATTAATTGAAACGTTTATCGAAATCAGGGGTAATGCCTAACATTCCGCAAATAATTGCCATAAACGAAAAAAAAAATTCTAAAACTATTTTATTTTATTTCCAAAACAATTTCATTTCCCCTCGGCATTAATTTATTTAATTAATTTACTAATACAAGTACTTATAATAAACAGACAGATTATAGATTTTTCAGTTAAAAAGTCTTTTATAACCGGAAAGCATAAAGAAAGCTCAGTATTCCACAAAATGACTGAATCTAACTGATTTTTTGGAAATTCTCGCAACCCTCATGAATGCCTTTCACACTTTCTGGTCAGTTCTCAGTTGGGACTTGAATTGGTGATGATGATGATGGTGGTGGTGATGGTTTCTAGGAAGAGCAGGGTTTGTGCTCCCCAGAGATTGCAGCCTTCTGCCTTATTGTACCATCCTAGCTCTCCAGCTAGTACAATCGACTCTACCCCTCTTCTCAGAAGTTTTTTTTATATCCTATATATCTTTGTCTCGATTGAGCTGTTGCTTCACATTCTAAGATGATATGGGTGGCTCTCTCCTCATTGCCTAACCTGCAGATGGGATCATCATTGAATATTCCCATGTTATTATGTAGATCAGATGCCAGTGACCGGTGGGTATCACATCACTCCTCTGAGTCTGGTCCTTTCAAGTTGCAGCAGTGAGCTCGTCAGTTAGTCTTGAATTAGTCAACTTCTAAAATTGTGATTGTGACAAAGCAATTCGAAGATGAGTGTTAAAAAACAAAAAAGAGAGGGAGAAAACTTCAAATGTTAACAAATAATTTTTCTGTAATTTGATTATTATTACCGATCATTTTTGGACTTTCGGACGCATTCTGCCATTTTCAGTGTGTCCATCCATAGAAGAAATCCCACATTTTAATATTTGTCTGTACAACATATCAGTTTCCTTTTTATGAAGAATTCCTTAAATTCACTAATTTCGTGGTCTGCTTGACCAATTAAATCATTACAATTAATTAAGGTTTTTAGTTGATAAAAAAGTTAATGGCACGAGCGGGATTCGAACCCACGATCTTCGGCTAGATACGCCGCTGCNAGGAAGTTGATGTCCGAGTGGATCGAGGTCACGATAGCTCAAGTGGTAGAGCAGCGGCGTATCTAGCCGAAGATCGTGGGTTCGAATCCCGCTCGTGCCATTAACTTTTTTTCATCTCGACTAAAAACCTTAATTAATTTATGAAGAATTTTGTTAGTTTTTTGTAAGCTGAAGAGGAAGCAAGGCTGCTTCGAAATATGTACTTTTTTTTTTTTTTTTTCAAATAATAAAAAAAAGTAAAGAAAAAGAAAAACTGGTTGTATCTGTTTTTCATAAAACAAGAAACTGACAAGATCTTTAAAAAAGAAGTAATCTGTTTGATGAAAACATTTAAAAACAAGTAAATTTTTTCTGTAGAATAAGCGGACAAAATCCCATTTCCTAGTGGTGTCCATTTATTAATTTATTATTATTCAACGGTATTCTATTAAATAATCAGAGGTAATGGCTTTGAGAGGGTGATGAGGGAGGAACTTTTATTACTCTTTTATCCTGATACATTGGTGTAACCTGTAACATTACGTTTCCCGCCATCCTGGCATACCTTTCTTTTCTCACGGTGACCTAGGTTATTGTGGAACCCCAAAGACACATTTTCCTTCAAAACTAAGAACTTTCCTCAGTACCTCTTCGCACATTTCTCTTTGTGTGAGGATTGTCTTACCAAAAAGGCTATGCCGAATGTAGGCTAGTATCCATTCACAAAGGATATGTGGTGTTGTCTGGTTTCTCCACTCATGTTTCTGTTTCGGCTCTACCCACCCGTATAGTACTGGTAGCATACCGGTCTATTATTTTCCTGGTGCTCATCCTGTGCTAGTTTTTTTCTTTTTTTTTCCAGTTCCCAATTTAGCTCACTTTCTGGTTCCTTGGGCTTCTGAGAAACCACATTAGCTCAATTTATAAGACGTTCAAGATAAAATATTTTATAAGATGGAGGCTAATGATGGCATTTAAAACCAAAATCTCGGTTGATGATAATCCGCATGGTGTTGCATACATATTCCGACCAGCATTCGTGAGGAATTATTTACATATATTGGTCACCAATTATTCAGGGTGACCCGTGAACTTCAGGAAGTTAATCAACATGTCAACTAAGGCTAAAAAGTCCTTATAGTTTAATGTCCAATTCTCAATTGTGTTCAAGATATTCTATGTTACTACATGTTACTTTTTACAACTTTTTTCCATAAATACCCAGTATCTCATTACAATATTAAGCCTACTGTAAATTTTATTCAACAGAAAGAGGATTATAAAACCCAATGATATTTATTTGTTTTATTATTTATACTTAAGCAAACGAAATACAAAATCATTTAGAAGATCTTTTATGAGTTATCTTGGTTCCAAATACTGACAGACACAGTGCTTTCAGAAAAGTTGCCCTTACTTTTAGCTTTAAACACATGTACTTAATTTCTCAAAGATCATCTCCAGTTATCTCTAGTATAAAATTAACTTTTAATTGCTAAAAATTGATTTTTCGGCTACAAGTGGTTAAAAACAAAATAGTCATTCAGTTTTTTAAACTTCTAACAAAGAATAATGAAAGTAATACAAAGTAAACAAAAAACTCTTGGTACAAAATTAAGCACAAGAGAAAAAAAATATAAAGCTTCAAAAAATGGAATTTTCAAATAATCCACCTTCTTGAAGTATGTGAGCCTGATATCCTGGCAAATTTTGAAAATTTAATGTTGAAGTAACCTGATGACTTTGGACAATAGGGACTTTTTAGACCAATTTGAAATGTAGAATAACCTCCTGAAGTATTAATATCATGGACCGTGGTAATTGAGTGGTGTGCCACTCAGCTCCTTGGCCCCATGGTGTCGTCAGGTCAATTTCCGCTTTCGCCTCTAGCCTTTTTTTTTTTTGCACTACCGCTTCCCCACATTAAAACATGCTCATTTTGTTCAAACACACACAAAAAAAATAAATAAAATTAAAAAAAAAATAAGAAGAAAAATGACATGATGATAATAAGATTCGATAAAAAAGACATCTGACTGACACTATGTATGATTTATAATGTATAATAACTTTATGAAAACAATATACATAGAAAAATAAGTATTGTTATGTATAACCAATAAATAATATGTTGTATGTTATGTTTTACAGCCTTAGGGGCTGCTTATGGCACAGCAAAATCGGGGACTGGGATTGCAGCCATGTCTGTAATGAGACCAGAGCTCATAATGAAATCCATCATTCCAGTTGTCATGGCTGGTATTATTGCTATATACGGTCTTGTAGTGGCTGTACTTATTGCTGGAGCGCTGGATGGGCCAGATAAATATTCTTTGTACAAGTAAGTATCGATATTTTTTAACCCATTCAGGACGATCTGCGCTATTCGGTCAGGTGGTGCGTGATATTGTGCTCTAATCACTTCACTTTTAGATTCAAGTTTATAGTGTGCTGTTTAATTTATTATTGTTAGTGCTAGTGAGAATGGGAAATTTATAAAACAGCGCTGTTCTTTACTGTTAAACACACAATGTTTTTTTGAACTCTGTAGTGTAGAGAGCGATATCATGTACCTCACTCGAGGAAGCAATAATGCTATAATAATATGTATGAAATTATTTGAATTGTTTTGTTTTTAGGGGTTTTCTTCATTTCGGTGCTGGATTAGCTGTAGGTTTTAGCGGGCTGGCTGCTGGGTTTACTATTGGTATTGTAGGTGATGCCGGAGTACGAGGAACAGCTCAACAACCGAGACTTTACGTTGGAATGATCCTTATCCTTATTTTTGCTGAAGTACTGGGTCTTTACGGTCTAATTGTTGCCATCTACCTGTACACAAAATAAACAATTCAAAACTTTCATTTTTAAAGGAGTTATGGAAAAACAAATGATATCTTTTTTGTCATCAATACACACATTTATTAGACAATATAGAAACAAAAAATGCTTCATTTTAAATATCCATTTGGCACAGTTACAAGAGTGATGGGTTTAAACACCTGCAGGCCGAAATAATGCTAAATTTATTTCCCTTTTTGTTTTTAATTTTTTTTTTTAAATTCAAATACCGTAAAATGTAATTTTGTTGATAGAATAGTGCATGTGAAACAAAATGTGTAATCTATATTGTTCTTAAAATTTAAATGTGTGGTTTTATAACCCAAAACTCTAAACCTGACTAAATTAATTTTGAAATGATACAATTCAACTTGTAATGTAACGGCATTTGTAAATTATTTCCACATGTACCCAGAAATTCAGTAGAGTAGATCTTCCAAAAAGGGATTTTGCATTTCCATTCCCTAAATAGTCTGTGTAAAAAGACTCGAATTTTCATTGGTTCATTCTAATGAAATTGTACATTCCAATCAATATAAAGCTATATTTTAAGGAAATTTTAAAATGACTTCAGCCTAAAATTAATGTTTCTGATTTATAAATTAACAGACCTATCGGTCGATTTAGTGCAATAATAGTATTTGATTGGAATCTTTCAATATCAGTAATGTAATATATACGTTTTTCTTTGAAATATATCGTTCGGTTATAGTTAGCAAAAAATGTTCTATTTTCCCGACACGTGTTTTTTTATTGCCCTAAATTGATACCTTCGGAGTTTTATTGTGAATCTATTTACGTATAAAAAAATGTTGGTAGTTTAGGGCTTTTGTACGATACAACAATTACAGGCCAAAATCTTGTCAGCTTACAGATCATGTAATTAATATAACACTGCCTTTTTGCAAAAGATTTAAAAAAAAAAAAAAAAAACCCTGTTGATCGACAAAAATAATGGAAGAACCAGAAGTATTATTTTGTAGATTTGGTTGTATATTGTAAAATGTTCTTTTGTATAGTTCATCAGTTGAATTCACATCAAAGACAGGCTTCTCTAAACCAGAGGCACTTTTTACAGATATCCATTGAATATTGTGCTTATTTGTACTTACTTTAATAGTGTAATAATTAAAATAACAGAAAAACATATACATAAACATTAAGGGCTGATAGATTTTATAAATAAATGTAAGATGGTATGGATGGAATGTAATTAAAGTTAAGTGTATAAATGTAGTTAATCTGTAGTGTACTTTTTATGAGTTTTCACATGTATTTTCTCAGCACAAATAATTTTACACTCTAAGCCAATACAGTTTGGCAGTGAAAGAGTTTCAATGTATGTAAAAAAAATAGAAAAATAAATGTAATATACACCTAAATGAATTAGTGCGTTTAGAAATGTCATTTTCTTTTCTGTTTTTAATTTTTTCACCCTTTCAACATGGTCTGACAGTCTTTGATGTAGAAGTATGGATGATTTAACACGAGTATATAACAACTGCATTTTATAATTTTTCTAACAGTGACAATACATAAATATATTTTCCCAAAATGTTCAGCGTTAATAGGATTTTTTGAAAAAAATGTAATGGATTTTGAATATATTTGGTCTGTCAGAATATTCATTTGCCAAAAAAAAATCTTTACAGTGTAAAAATTAAAACTGCATTTTTTAAATATATTTTTTTTTTTTTCGATTGGATTCCAAACAATGGTTAGAATTTTGACTACAAATAGGTTTTTTTTTGCGGTAAAGAAGTGAAAATTATTTAAATTTTGCTACTTTTTGTTGTTGTTTTCCATTGGGCAGGTGGTTTAGGTGCTTAAATTGTTCATTGTTATTTAAAACATTTGAGATATTAATTATTAAGAGATTTGTTGTTCAAGAGATTATTGAGTTTTGTTCAAATTTGTGATTTTTCTTAAAATGGCTGTTAATATGGACAAAAATTATATAGATTTTTAAAATTTCATATGCATTTTAAATTCGAATCAAAGCACACTATTTACTTGTGGATATTTAAATTGACTTGTCATTTGTCAAGTTTCTGGGTCCGCTACCGATTCCTTGTTTTATCCCAGTTAACGATTAAACTGTCCTTGACATTTTTATTTGTCTTTGTTGTTTATAGCAGTCGTAAAATTGTAAATCTAATGGTAATTGAATTATGGATGTAATATGTAAATATGATTGTACTTAGGCAAAATTCAGAACTATCTTGTTGATACTGTAATGTTGTGGAATGTACTAAATTTTATGTTAATTAAAAAAATTACATAAATATAATAATTTAATGAATATAATTTGTACCAGCCCTTTTTTACATTCCACTTTGTGACAAGTTAGTAGTTTAGGGACTGGACTACTGAGACTTCACTTAAACCATTGTACAGCTACGTTTTGCATCTGGACATTTAAAAAAAAATCTAGCAGATCATTTCAGGTCGAGGATGTTATAAGCAGAGGGTTTTTGTAGTAGAAGAGATTATCCCGTTAGATTAGAGGAGTCTGCCTATTTACAGCCTGCTCACCGTGACCGATTGGTTATTTTCCATTGTTGCTTGGAGCTCCAGATTCCAAAGCTTTTTCAAGGACGACTCCCGTGTATAGTCTTCGGACCTGAGCTCATGAGAAACAGTTACAAAAAAGAAAAACCACTTGTAGGCTATCGTCTATAGTTGTATCTAAATTCAAGATTGGACTATATTAGATTAGAAAAGGAGTCTTGCCTTTTATGACCAGTTCCCAACAGTGCATCTCTGTTGTCTAGAACTCCTCGTTAAGCTAAGGCTTTTTAACAGATCCCAAAACTCAAACAAATGTGCACCTGTTAGGCATACTGTTAATAAGGTTGTCACTAATTTCACTCCATAGATGTTGTAATGCTGCACTCAGTTGTGGCAGGTCAACTGGCTGCGGATGTTGATTGAAAAACCTGTGCAACGCATCTAACATGTGCTCAGTGGGATTGAGGTTGGTGGCAATGGGGGAAGAGACAGCTGGGAAATTCCCACGTTTTCTAAGATTGATTAACACAGAACAACTCTACCTCTATGAGGGCTGGTATTGCCATCCAGAAATCGAAAATCCCTGCCAATGAGATCTTTGGTTTGAGGGAGGCCATAACGGACTGCGGTGAGGTTGCCTTCAACAATATGAGTCCAGTTTGTCCTCCAGTGTAATCCCAGCCCAGACCTTCACACCGTCTTCCAAATGCACTGAAGGCAGCATGAACTGGGGCTTTGTACGCATCCCCTGTTCTAGGTATACTCTTTGGCTCTTGCTATCACTATATGGAAGGAAACGTGATATCAGTAAACAAAAGCATTCCAATTGGAGTTCTCTTCTTGACACTCGCTGCACCGTATTCTCCCAGTTTGGTTTGCCATAAACCAAAGCATGAACTGGGGCTTTGTACGCATCCCCTGTTCTAGGTATACTCTTTGGCACTTGCTATCACTAAACAGATGGAAACGTGATATCAGTAAACAACAGCATTCCAATTTCCAACCCAGTTTGGTTTGTCACAAAAGGGTGAATAAGTGTCCTCATCAACACCTTTTATGTACTTAGTTATTCAGATATCGTGAGATGCGGTCGGACGATATCTGACTAACTATCGATTAACGGTCACTAATCTCTACACACACCTTTTATGTACTTTTTCTCATGCCTCTTTCCTTTCAATCTATTGTCTGATGTATGTTTGTGGCAGTTTGGTATGCCACAAAAAGATTCAGGGCCAAGACTTGTCCTCATTGATCAATTTATCAACCTCTTCATTATATCGGACATGCTGCCCTGGTACCCAGACAAGGGTGATTTTGTTGTTAAACTCATTGTCTGATCTACATTTTTGCCAGTTTGGTATGCTGCAAAAGAGTTCAGTGCCAATAGGTGTCCTCATCGACAAATTTATCAACCTCTCTGTTGTCCCTCTGCTTGTATCTGCTGTTTCGAGTTTATATATCTCTGGAGTCTGTAGGTGCAGTTAGCGATCCATTCTAGTCTTAACATTTTTAGAATTTGTAGTTCTGTTAGTTCCTGCGACGGTCCTATGATGAACTTTTTTGCATGTATCTGTCAAACAATCTTATTGAATATACTTATTTTTCTATTATTTTTTGCAGTTTGGGGCTCAGGGCCAATCAGTCTCCCATAGACCAATATATCAGCCTCTTTGTTACTGCTTTATATGCCCTGGTAAATAAACAAGGGTGATGTTTCTCCCTTGTCTGATCTACATTTTTGGCAATTTGGCATACCATAAAAGGTTCAAAGTGTCCTATCGACGCCTTTGATGTACTTTTTGCATGCCTCCTGGACTATTTAATATTTTTAATCTATAGTCTGATCTATGGTTTTGGCAGTTTGGTATGCAACAAAGGGGTCCAGGGCCAATAGGCGCCTTTAACCAATTTATCTTCCTCTTCTATACCCTCTCTGTCTTGTGTGCCCTAGTGCCCAGATATGGGTAATTTTTGCTGTTTTCCCCAATTTCTAACATAGCCCTAATGCAATCCCAAAGGACTGGACTTTACCACCAGTGCAGTAATTTCCTTCAGTGCCAGCTGGCTATCTGAGTAGATTGCTTTTCTTCTGTTAACAATGCTACCTTTTTAATCTCTTTGGCACAGTGTTTAATAGCCATTATCTCAAGTTAGAAAGGCAGTATAATATAGGCTAATAAATTGGCACTGAAGTCCTCTTTGAACTTGATAATTATGCTTAAAATACAAAAAACGATGACATGACCTTAGCTCAGAATAATCGAATGGTGACTCCACCAAGGATTTGGGGGACTATTGGTTGATACATCCTAATTTATATTCAAAAATTCAATTTTAATGTCTTTTCTTAGGAATTGCTAGGCAACCTATCTGCCTGCTCATTGTACATGTGTCCTGAGTGCTCATGAACTCAGGCAAGGGTCAGGACATTATTGTCACTGACCACAAACTCTATGCAACTACCAACACATTTTGATTTCACCTCTCATTAAGCTAACACTTTCAGTGCAGCTTGCCTGTTCAGAAAGTGTGGATGCTATCTTTGATTGGATTCCAAGCCTTTTTCTGAATGAAAAATAGTAGTGCATCTACCTAGGTTTATAGTCACTGGATTCCTAGAACTCCAGCACTTGTGCCCTCCCCAGTTTTTGAGCCATCAGTAAGCAAATAAGCATTGGCTGTGGTGGGTATTATTTAATCCAGAACCTCTGTCTGGTTTAAAGTTAAAAACGAATTCAGGAGTTGTAGCATCAGTAGGTATACCTAATGAGCATAGCATGTTTTTTTTTTTTAAACGAGGGTATTTCAACTATTACGTTGTATGAGCCATGGGATGCCAGTGTTTTTGAGTATGTCGGGTTCGAATCCAGGGCCACTAGATTCGAAGTTTCGAACCCGGGATCTTACCTTACAGTGATGAACGCCGTGTCAACCGTTACAGCCACAACAGCTTTTTGAATGAGTAAGTTTAGCTAAGGTTAAGTAATAGTTCTAGTATGTCCTCATATATGTCTAAGGTACCGCATAGTAGCTTGCCCATTTTTGAATGCAGGGTGTTGGTCCACCACACAACTAAGGTTCAACTTAGGCGTGCTAGGTTTTTAGTACCACTTAGTAGTTTGATTGGCTTAGCTGCATGGTGTTTGTTCACTACACTTCTGATGGTCAACATGGGTTTGATGCACTAGGGCCATTTTCGGGTTCTGGATCGTTAAAATACGATTAAGCATTCTAGCCTTTAGCCTTTGAGTACCACATAGTAGCTCTACCACTTTAGACTGCAGGGTGTTGGTTCACCACACAACTAAGGGTCTGATGCCGTAGTGTCATTTTATGGTCCTTCCTCATCAAAATAAACTTAGGCTTTTTGTACCACTTAGTAATTTGATTGGCTTAGCTGCATGGTTTTTGTTCACTACACTTCTGATGGTCAACATGGGTCCGATGCCCTAGGGCCATTTTTGGGTCCTGAATCATCAAATTACAATTAAGCATTCTAGCCTTTGAGTGCTACTTAGTAGCTTTGTCATCTTAGCCTTCATGGTCGTGTCCACTACACTACTAAAGTTATGCAATGACCTGATACCATAGTCTCATTTTGTAGTCCCTAATCATCATAATACACTTAAGCATTCTAGCCTTTGAGTACCTCTTAGTTAGCTTGATTGGCTTAGTCTACAGGGACTTGGTCCACCACACTATTGATGGCATCAGTCCAATGTTGGTCCATTGGACTGATGCCATAATGTCACTTTGTGCTCCCGAATCATCAAAATACACTTAGGAAAGCTAGGATTTTAGTGCCACTTAGTAGCTTAATTGGCTTAGCTTAGGTCTTGGTCCATCACACTAATGACCCATGTTGCAGGTCTGACACCGCATAGACTGAGGATACTTGGTCTGCACCTCAACAGAACAAACTGTTATAATAGTCATTAGACATTTGGAACATCTATCATCTTCTAGGACGGCATTTCTTTGGAGGCACCGAGTTGGTACCATTTCACAGGCCTTGAATGGCTAATGAAGGTATATGACAATCCTATAAAATCATAGTTTGATAACTTTTTGTGCCTTTCTTAGGTTCTGAATCATTGTCTAATTCTTGGCCACATAAGGCAAAATGTGAGTGAGTTGTTACGCCCTGACTGTTCACCTCCCCGATTTTGGGACTTCCAGTCAAAATTTTAGAAAAAGTATCATTTTTGACGTTAGGGGTCGGAAAAATTCCATTTTTTTTTTTGTAAGGGGTATCTCTAACGTGGCACGGACTGTTGCCGACCTAGGAAAGAATGACGGAAGCCGTGTAATAGGGTTGGACGCCTGGATCGGGAACTGAGACAGCGGAGGCCGGGCGAACACAACGGCGGACGAGGGTAAGCAGGCAAGGTGAGCGAGCGGTGAGAGACGAGAGGAAAAAGAGGAAAAAAAAGGAGGAAAACCAGAGGAACGAGGGACATCCTTTTTTTTCCAGTGTGGGAAACGGCTGTTCTCCTCCGGGGACAGGATACGCATCCGGGCAGGAGCTAGGAGGGCAGACGTTGAGATGAGGCGCTCCGGCGAAGTCCGTGTGGTTTTTTTTTGTGTGTGTTTTAAGAAATAGGAAGTGTTCTTTTTGTGTTAAGAATTTTTTTTTGAGAGGATACTCCAATTATTGTAAATTTAATTTCGTTTGCGAGGCCTTCGTGTGGTAACCCTACTGTAAATCAAATCATAATTAATAGAATTTTGTTTCGTCTAAATTCAGATTGTTTCATTTTTTTTATTATTTATTTAGTTATTTGTTGTTAGTTATTGTTTCAATTTTTTTTTTCCGACCCCTGGCGAATGCCAGTCCACTGACTTTAATGACTGAGTAAGGTGAACAGTCAGATACTTACAAGGCAGCTCGTAGCGCAGGGGAATCGTATTCGTTTTAAGACTACAAGGTCCACGGTTCGAGTGCGAGTGAGTTCATTTTTTTTCTTTTCTTTTCCCCTTTTCTTTTTAGGGATTCACTATTTTCCCTGGATCAAATAGTGTGGCGCCTGACTGAAGTATTGGCTCCCCGAGAATCCCCCCCTTCTCCACTGAGCGTCAGTCAGCAAGTTACTACCAAAGGTAACAGAGTGCCTGAACACCACAGATGTCCAAAACCTTGAGTGGGCAGCGAGTCCAGACCTTACCTTAACTCGATCTAATTTTTTAAATATATTTCTGAGCATTTTTTTGTGTTAAACCACATAGAAAAATTTCATGGAGTCATGATTTTTTTGGACATGGAATGTAAATTATAAGCTCATTTTTCACATCGTTCATTGCTTCTTTATATTCACACACTTTCATGGCAATGTGATGATACTGTTGTGTATTTTTATACAAACAAAAACAAATTTAAGGAGGTAAAAAATTTTTTTTAAAAATAAATTTAAATCAATGATCACTACATAACATATACACAACTGTCTCATAAAAACAGTTATTTGCTTGTTTTTTCCTCTTGTTTAGGAGGTTCACTACGATGGGACTCTTCAAGAACAAGTTCCATTATCTTATTTACATTGTCTACCACTTTACGAGCATCCTCTAGTAAGCCTGCATACACCAGAGCGTTCTTAAATAACTGAAAATAAAATCGAAGTTGAGTTCAAAGTTAAATTAATGCTATGCTTTAATTACCTGTTCAGTTATAAGGGTAGCTAATTTTTCATTAGTTGGAATTAGTCGCTTCACTTGATTAATTAGTGGATGGCTGAAAAAAATGTTTTTAAAAATTAATTATATTATTACATAAATTATGTAAGTTATTTACTTTGGGTTCAGCTCAAGACGTGGTTTAATTAGTGTGTACTTCATATCGTCGTCTAGACCACGCGCTTGTAACTTCAGGTACTGTCGAGCATGTGCCATCTCTTCTACTGTTACTATACATGGATGATTTTTTAAACTTTTATTGACAATCGCTTTTTCAATCTTCTCCTTTAGAGTCTGTTTCATCCATGTTAGTAGTTCATCTATGTTGTTCTCCTTATTAGAGCCTACAACTACAACAAAACATAAAATCAATTTGGATGAAATGATGGTTTTAAATTAATTTATCAGTTTTAAAATACCTGATGAAGACGTTTCAGTTGGAGTATGTAACCTTGCACTAGCCTCAACTGAACAAAGAGGGATGTCGTTGACTGAATGGAGCTGCATTAAAACAAACTCGTCATACGGCTCATAGCAGAAAATAACTTCAACGTCTTTTTCAATTAACGCCTCCATGTAAGGAGAATTCATTGCGAGTGAACGACTAAAATAATAAGAAATAACCGAAATGTTAAACATAATTAATTCCTGTTTGTTTTTCATTAAATAGAAAATATTATTTGCAATTATAACTATAATTATATTTAGAAAATGCCTTCTTGTTCCAAATCTAAGTGTGAAAACCATTCAATAAAAAATGTCACCTAAAAGTGGTAATACAATTGGGACAGACTGTTAGCTTGCTCTGACACAAAACAGAATCGAAATGAGAAAAACAGAAGTGTTTTTTAAATAATTTGATTTTATCCCCTTTTTGTTTTGAAGTAATTTTTATTTTAATTCATTTACACTCTATGATGAAAATGGATTGACATTTAAAAGTTTTTTTTTATTGTCGCAAAGGGAAAACGGCAGTTCAGACTGGTAGGATTTTTCTTTTTTTTATTTATTAATTATGGTTATGATGCTATAGGAGAAAGCCATCCACTAAAGTAGAAAAGCAAGTAAGTGGTTTGCTTGGTTCATAAATGGAAATTTCAATTTGTAAGCATAAGTAGGCCTTGGTGGAAGGTCGTGGGTTCGTATCCCGCTCGTGACACTAACTTTTTCATTTCAACCAAAACCTTACATGAAAAGATTAAGTAATTGAAAGAAGTTATTCAGATATTGTATTGGAACTTCTTGAGGTCATTACAGGTGAATAAAGAACATCACTATTGGGTTTCACCAAGCTTTCGACGAATGTTCCGCCATCATCAGGGCCTAATTTATTAAAAAACAAAATTTACATGAACAAAGTTACATAACACATCTTATATAAATACTTTACAAAAATACAAATACGTACTTAACCCAATTGTTAGGAAAATTCAATTTATTGCATATGTTTTTTTTTTCTGAAGTAAAGGTGAAAATAAATCTATATACTAAAAAAACAAAAACCGTCTTGCTTAAAGTCTAGTGACCCTCATCGGTCATCCTTTGGTTTCACTTTTTCATAAGTTAACACTAAATCTCAGGTACATAGTCGTATATAGTTAAATTATAATTTTAAGAATTTTAAGTTAAATAACAATAAAAAAGAAAGAAAAANGGTTTTTTTTTTAATTGGCCTTATGATCTTGCATATTAGCCATAGTACGAATTCTTGTGTGCTCAAATTGGGGGTTATCGGGAAAAAAGGGCCAGAGGCGACGGTGGGAATCGAACCCACGACCGCGGCGTGAGAGTCTCTCATGCTAACCACTTGGCTACCGCGGTCCCCGAGTTTTAGTGTTAACTTATGAAAAAGTGAAACCAAAGGATGACTGATGAGGGTCACTAGACTTTAAGCAAGATGGTTTTCATTTTTTTAGTATATAGATTCATTTTCACCTTCACTTCAGAAAAAAAAATGCAATAAATTGAATTTTCCTAACAACTGGGTTAAGTATGTATTTGTATTTTTGTAATGTATTTATATAAGATGTGTTATGTAACTCTGTTCATGTAAATTTTGTTTTTTAATAAATTAGGCCCTGATGGCAGAACATTCGCCGAAAGCTTGGTGAAACCCAATAGTGATGTTCTTTATTCACCTGTAATGACCTCAAGAAGATCCGATACAACATCAGTTTAAACTACGTAGGTCGATCAACGTCAACTAGAAGTTATTCGGTTAATAGATCACTAAATATAATAGATTGTAAAGAATGGTAAATATAAAACTGTATTTCTATTTTTCAGGGTTTTCTAAACTTTTAAAACAGTTTCTGCTAAGTTTTGAAAATGGAGTCTAACAAGGAAGAGCTGTCCAATGAAGAAAAAGGTAAAAATTGATATTTGGAGCATATTCTAAATCGCTGTACAAAATGTTGACCAATCAACTTTTCTAGAAGCTAAACTACTTCTGACTGGACATGATAAGTGTCTGGTGTTAGGTAATATTCTAACCGTCAACCAGTCCTTCATCTTCTTATTACCTCCTCGTACCTACTTCGTTTAATATCTGGAGGACAAAAAAGACAAATCCTTGGCGTAAAGTGTAGCGAAAGTGCTGAAGGGCAAGGTAAGAAAGTGAGAAATGCATCTTCTGCCTAGGTTGCACTACGGATGACAGAAAAATTGAACTGTGTCTCCAGCACTTTGGAGTTGAGTTGTATGAGTTTTCCCTGAAGGAGCAACAACAATGTTTTGGATTTGGAGAGGCTCCAGTGAATAATTTTTATTTTCTTTCAGACCTCTTCAATAAAAAAAATAAAATAAAACTCGGCCCAATTATTTGAATTAAACCAATAAATCATTAAATTTATTTTAATTTATCAGCAATGTGATCATGATATCAAGGCTCATCCATCACTTTTTGATGATTGTGGCTTTTTTTTCTACTTCAAGCTATTCACATAACATTATAAAAAAAAAAACATTAAAACTGAAAATATCAATTTGTTAAATGTAAACAAACCTTGGTGCTGACAAATAGTAAATTTTCTTTTGGTCTGCTTGCATTTTGCTCACATACTCTTGGATACTAGTTAATTGCCCTGCAGGTGTTTTGGATGTCTCATAAAGTAATAATTTGCTAATATCTTCCTGAAAGTTAAAAGGTAAATGAAATTATCTTCAGTAATAAATATTTCAATTATGTTAATAAAAAAAAATTGCAAAACTGAACAATAAACAGAATCCAATTCTATGTTTTATTGTATTCGTGTATTAAATAATCTTAACACACCACCCACCAAAAAACGGGGTTGAATGCCTGTTATGAATTTTCGGGGCATGCGCAGTTGAGTTTTGGCGCCTCATCACACCTGATCTCAAACTGTCAGTTTGATATTCCAGCAGGTTATCACACCATGTTTGTGTCCGGTTTTTGACAATTAATATATTATAATTAATTAAGGTTTTTAGTTGAGATAAAAAAGTCAATGGCACGAGCGGGATTCGAACCCACGATCTTTGGCTAGATACGCCGCTGCTCTACCACTTGAGCTATCGTGACCTCGATCCACTCGGACAACAACTTCCCATCTCAACCCCACCTTTTGAGTTTTCCCTCCTTTTTGCCATTTTTCAAATGTGTAATCTATTCGATTCTCGGCGACAAATGAAATGGCCACGGAGAGCTTTAGTGAAGTATACTTCATTTTCAATCATTAAATTCACTAATTTCGTGGTCCGCTTGACCAATTAATATATTATAATTAATTATAATTACACGACATTTGAAAAATGGCAAAAAGGAGGGAAAACTCAAAAGGTGGGGTTGAGATGGGAAGTTGGTGTCCATGTGGATCGAGGTCACGATAGCTCAAGTGGTAGAGCAGCGGTGTATCTAGCCGAAGATCGTGGGTTTGAATCCCGCTCGTGCCATTGACTTTTTATGTCAACTAAAAACCTTAATTAATTATAATTTTTATTAAAGAAAATTTAAAAATGTATGTTATTTCAAATAAATCTGAAAATTAAAGCTTTATCTCTTTTTAAATGCTGCAGTCCCAGATCAATTACTGCAAGCTGTCTGAGTTGTTATTCTGGTATGAAAAGAATATATGAGAACATCACACAGTGGTTAGCATGAGAGACTCTCACGCCGCGGTCGTGGGTTCGATTCCCACTGTCGCCTCTGGCCCTTTTTTCCCGATAACCCCCAATTTGAACAACATATATAAGAGATTCGTCATGGCTAATATGCTAAGATCATAAGGCCAATAAAAAAAAAAAAAAAAAAAAATTGGAAACAAGCGTTCAGGTGTGTGCAATCATAAATGACAGATTAGTTGGCAACTGGTTTGTGAGTGCGTGTTGGAACAAACTTTATATCCAATAACTTTACAAAAATATATATTAAAAATAATTGACATACTCTATCATGTTTGTTGTCCATGGCGATTATCCCTTCTTTGAAAAAAAGTCCAAATTCTCGGTAGAAAAGAGTATAGTTTTCCTTATCTTTTGCCGACCTTTCTTGAAGAAATTTAATGATTTTCTTTGTAATTGTTGAACTAATAGTCCTGCAATTGTTCAGTAAAATATCAATGTATATTTTATGTATATGTTATATAGTTTGCTACCTTAGCAGGGCCGTATTTTGTAAAATCTCTCTGCTTAGATTCAAAGGAATGTCTTCAGAGTCCACAACACCTAAAGACACATAAATTCAAGTAAAAATTGGTTTATATTCGATTGAAAAATCAAAGTTAAAAGTACTAAGTTAACATTATAAATTTAATATTACGTTATTCTTTTAGGCAGTATCGTTAACAGAAGAATAACCATCTACTCAGACAACCAGGTGGCACTGAGGGAAATCATCGCATTGGTGGTGAAGTCCAGACTCATTTGGGATTGCATTAGGGCTCGTCAAACATTGGGGAACAATGTCAACGACAAACAACAAAATTACCCTTGTGTGGGTGCAAGAGCACACAGGGCAGAGGGGCAACAAAGAGATCGATAAATTGACTAAGGAAAGTTTGATGAGGACACCTACAGGTGGTGGAGTGTTTGATATTCCTCCATAACCCTCCACATATATTACATACCTAATCAATTTGGGCTTCGATGGTCTATTCAATATTCCACTACATTCACGCTAATAAATATATTCACTCAACATACACAAAAGAGATAGCAGTAATTACACAGTACAGTAGCCCTGTTTCCATCTTTTTCCAAACATTCCCTGGATGTTGGATGCATATTTCAAAAATGCAGTCGCCACATTTAGCTGGTATGCTTTTTTTTTACCAGGATGAAATTCAAATAAATTCTCCAGAGAATAAGTACTCTAATTTTACGTTTTACTATGTTGCCATGTCAACACTTTAAAATTCCTCAAATAGCTGGCTGTTTTCAAGTTCCAATTCCTCTGCTAAAGCATGGTACATGCCTAAATGATAACCCTTTGTATCCAGACTTGATCCACTTTTTTTTCAAAGTTTTTTCTCCCTGTTAAGTACAAAACTAATAATGGTGCTGCTACTTCTCTTTTTTCGTATTGAAGATATCTTGTCTAAAAATGGACTCACTGGACAGTGGTGAGAGTGTGCCTAAACGGTCTGAAGCCGACTCGGTGCAAAGGTCTCTGAGATTAACTCTCAAGAGCTCTGACTGTGAGTTCCTCTCACGTGTAAACGCACCTTAAGAGTGGCTGATGATGTGGAAAGTGGTGTTGGTGAGTATCATTTGCAGTAAGGTCATTTTGCAAATTAATTCACTATTGGATTTAGTTGTGGCTGACTTGTATTGTTTGTTTGGTACATTTTCACTTGCTCCACATAAATAATGAGAAGGTCTGGAAAAGTTTAACAATGTTTATGAATATTATGTCGGTGGTTTTGTATTTTCGAACTTTCCTTCCCCACAAAAAATAGTCAATGCAGACGCTAAATGCCCTTTTATCGCTTAGCAATAAGGGTATAGAGTGTCTGTGCTAATTTTAATTTTTAATGATTTAAAAAATCATAGATAATTAAGAAAAACCTTACCTCGGACGAATCTTAACCATTTTGGTATAATTTCTTCGGCTTTATTCTTTATTAACACTCTCCGTGCGAAGAGAGCAATTCCACCATGAACTGCAGGGTCGAAAAATACTAAAACAAAGGAATATTATAAAAGCGTCTGAACCATTTGCATTTCCATAATTAAATGTACGTGTATTAAACATTTTTGTGTATTATATATTTTGATTTAATATATTTATATTGATTTTGGCAAAGATTTTGAGTGGGATCATAAAAATGCTTAAAAAGAACATAACTTTTTATTAAATAGATGAAAATTGATTAAAACAAAATAAGTAAACTAAGTAAAAGGGCATTTGTTTCATATAATTAATGTAATTTTTTTTTCTACAGGAGTAGCTAATTCACAAGAGCAGAGGTTATATCAACCCCTGGGGGTGCCGGTGTTTTTGAAAAAAAAAAAAAAAAAAAAAAAAAAGTCCGTTTGTAAGTACATTGGGTTTGAATGCAGGGCCGTGGATTCGAACCCGGGACCTTTACCTTACCGTGATGAGCACTTTGTCAATGCCTAAACCATTGCAGCCACTGACACCCTATTAATGTCAATAATGCTTAAATGTTCCAAAACTAAGTATAATATCATTAATAAAAAAAAATCATGAGACTTAAATTGTAAATAAAACTAATAAATACGAAATGTTTTAAAAAATATACCAGGTCGTGATTCGGGGAAATATAAGACGGCATTGATAGAATATGGTACATCCACTTTGTAGTGTAAGACAAACCTTGGCGAGTCATTGGCATTTGTCATGTATTTATAGAACTCCTTGTGCTTCTCGATTGACACTTCTCTGGGATTCATCAACCAAAGTGGCTACAAAATTAAAATAATAAATAAATCATGGTTCAATGTGCAATACTGGACATGAAATTCTGCAAGCAAAACATTTGCCATTAGCCTCAAAACATTTTCTCTAATTCCACTATTTTTCATGGTCCACTTGCCCAATTAATATCAGTTAACTAATTAAGGTTTTAAGTTGAGATAAAAAAGTAGTGTCATAAGTGGGATTTGAACCCACGACCTTCAGCTATATGCTGCAACTCTACCACTTGAGCTATCGTGACTTTGAGATCGAAGGTGGGTTCGAATCCCGCTCATGACACTACTTTTTTATCTCAACTTAAAACCTTAATTAATTGAATTTTCACTAGTCAGTGTTGTTATAAACTACATTGAAACAAAAATTTCCAATATAAAATGCATTTAATTAAATTTGTAACTATATGTAACACAACTTGCTCATTGTTATGTACATGTGTATATTTAAGAACTAAGGACATCAAAAAGACAGTATACAGAAGAAATTAGTATAGAAAGTGGTATTTTTAGTTTTGGTATTTTTTTATGTATGCATAGCACTTTTTTCCCCTGAAAAATGAAATTCTTCTGAAATAAAGACATAAGCATGAAAAGTAAATAAGAAAAATTCATCTAAAGCTTTTCAGAGAAAAAAAAAATTGAATGGGACTATTTTATGTGTTTTTTAGTGACCAGTTGTTCGATAATTTGTTGAAGTCGTGAGGAGTGGTCAGGAATAAATTTGAGAGTGCCCAACATGTAAGAATGGCACAATTACACAAACAACAAACACTCCGAGCCCTGAAGATGATCTCAATAAAGATCGAAACGTTGGCACGATAAAGAAAATGTTTTTCTGAAACCTACATCACACCAGACCGCATCTCACGATTTGTGAATAATCATCGACTAACGGTCACTAATGATCACACATAAAAATGTTATATGAGACTCTTGGCAAATTGTTTGCAACAAAATTAAACCATTAAATAAATTACCTGTATAGTATTTGCTTGTGCGCCATCAAGAATGATTGGGTAGCTGACAAACGAGCTGTATTTCTTTATTATTGTATTAACTGTCGAGTTATCAGCAAATTCTCTGTTTTCAGTCTTCAAATAGATTACAATTTTGGTACCTGGGTCAGCTCTTTCCACTGGTGAAATCTCAAAAGACCCAGAACTACACAAAATAAATCAAGAATTGAACTCAACAAACTGTTTGATATAAAAAATATACATACCCATCAGAAGACCATTTAAGACCTTCACTACCAGGTTTGATAGTTTTAGTAAAGACTTCGACTTTGTCAGCTACCATAAATACACTGTAAAACCCTACTCCAAATTGTCCAATAACTGTATTGGTAAGATTTGACTGTCCTCTTTTTTTAAGCTCATCTATAAAAGCCTGTAAATATATTTGAAAGATTATTATTTAAAAAAAGGTCGATTAATGGTACAGAAAATACCTTTGATCCAGATCGAGCAATTGTTCCTAAATTACGGATGAGTTCATCCTTGCTCATACCAATACCATTATCCTAGAAAATTATGAACGTTTATTGAAAGGATATACAAGAGAGGGTGTTAGTAGTATTAAATAGCAACAGACCATAACCTAACCACCTTTATGTTGCAATTAGGCTTTAGTTTTCAGTGCATTTCATTTTGACGAAGTGTAAGCAGCATAAGTTTTTTTTTAAATTCCTAAAATTCTTTTGTACCCACGAAATGCAATTTTGCATGAAGCTTACTTTTCTGCTTCCATTTGAAGAAAAAAGCAGCTGAAGGTGGGGACCATGCTTCATCAATTCAAGTTGTGACTGGTTAAAAGTGATGGTTATGACAATGGAGGTTAAGTAAAGTAACATGAAACAAGGCACATTTGAAGATGCAAAATTGAAAGCATTGAATTAAAACTGATGTCAAACGAAAGAACTTGCAGAATCTTTGGGAGTGACTCAACAATTTCATTACATCTCAGGTTCATTAAGCCATGGGAATGGCCCAAAAGCAAGGCAATTGGGTGCCTGACGAATTAAAGCCCAAGAGATGTGGAAAGGAGATTTTTCGCTTACGAACAGATTCAAAGACTGAAGGTTTTTTTCCCATCAAATTGTAACTGGTAATAAAAAGTGGATTCATTAGGACAATCCAAAGCGTAAAAAATTGTGAGGTAAGCTCGGCCATATATCAACACCAACAACAAAGTCAAATATTCATTTGAAGCTCTTCACTGTAATCAATTGGGTGTAGTATATTATTACCATCACGGGGGTCGGTACTGACAATTGATATGTTTGAGCTGAGCATTGAAGGAGAAAAAGAGGCACGACGAAGTGATTTATGATTTTGTCTTACCCAAGCCACTATATTCTCCAGACATTGCTCCTTCCAACTTGTTTCGATCAATGACTCATGCTCTGTGCAGCACTTCCGTTCTTACGAGGAAGGCAAAAAATATTATTTTACAATTATTTCATTGCCTCTAAACGACCAGTTTTTTTTTTTCAATGCAGAATTCGCATGATGCTAGAAAGACGGGGAAAAGTGGCCAGTGATGGACAATGCTGTGAGTAATCAATTTGTAACCATTTCTGCACAATAAAGCGCCAATTTTTACTAAAAATCCTTTAAAACTTACTGTTAACGAAACAATGAAATTGTGTTTGGGTAAAAAATGTACAATAAAATCAAGACTTAGCTGTATTTATGATTAAAAAAAACAAAAAGTTATGTACACAAAAAAACATAGAACTAGAATACACCCCCCCACCAAAAATAAATAGATAAAATAAAAAATAAAAATCTGTTAAAAATTACCTCTATTACTATTGTGCGGTCCTGTTTGTTAGTACTGACTGTAATTTTCATTTCGGAATCATTTGGTGGAGCTCCTTCCGAAATTCTGTAATACCTAGCTTTTTCCAGTGCGTCGCTTGCATTAGAAATTAGTTCTCTTAGAAACACCTACAAGTTATACCAGTTAAATTTTATAGTACGTACAAATTTAAACAAAACCACTAACAAATAAAATATTATTGGGGATATTATTTATTCTGCTGTTTTAGGATATACAAGGTGATTCATGAATAATGTGCCAAATGTGTTTCTGCATCCAAAAATCTCTTGAATTGATATGATTCTCAATAATAAGGGTGATTTTTTTTTCCGATTTGAATCTCGACTTTATCCATAAAAGCACACCTATTTTCTAAAACCTCCATATCAAAAAAATTGAAAACAGTGCTAAAAAAATGGAATAAGCCTCCAGTAAGAAAACATCCTACCAGTTGTTCCATTTTATTTGTAACAGAAATAACGCAAACGTTTAGTCATCCAAGACAATGGAAGTATTTTGGGTTCAAGTTCCGCTGATTCAAATCTGAGACCTTTCAGTGGCAAGTCGCCTGACTACCTCCTTTGTATCCAGAGGTCCTCGAATATAAAACCCCTATCCTTTTTAAATCTGCAGGTTTAATCTTGAATTTAGAAATTCCAATTATCCACAAGTGGTACTACGAAACACACTCTCGGGGTGATTCAGAATGATCGATTTGTGCGTAACCTGATTCTAAAAAAAAAGTGTGATAATGCGGTATTATGATGCCATTTCCATCTTTTTTCATATGTTTCTCACTTAGTATATTGTTTTTCAGAAAAATCTTGGAATATCACCTTCACCCCCCACCCCTTAGAAAAACATAGCCAGCTCTAAAGGCCCTCCAAGCATACGAGATCAACTCAAAACTTGAAACTGCTTAAATACCCTAAAAAAACTGATTTAGTGACTGGAGATTTTTAGTGGCCTTGAGAAGGGCTAATGTTGGGACTCTTGACTGGAGTCCAATTACAGGTGTAGAGCTGAATATTAATGGAGCGGAAGTCAGTAGTGAGCAAAAGGCCCTATGCAGCAAGCAGCCACGTTGGCAGCACCTCTGAGTATAAGCAGGGGTTCAACCTGCTTAAAACAGACTTGTAGACTTATTAGCAATTATCCTCTCCTCTCTGACCCTTCTCCGGTCCACCAAAAATCCTAGTCACTAAACTGGGATCTATAAATATCCTAACGCTAAAGCAGGTACCAGGTCATGAGGTAATTTCAGGCAGTGAGGTAGCAGATATGGCTAAAAAGAGAACCTTGGAATGGAAGAAATACCAGCTATAGTCACATTAAAAAAAAGCACTCAAATCTTGGGCAACTAAAGAACACAAAAAACACTGTAAGCATAAACCTTAACAACATAAAAACAGCCCAAGGAACAAAGAAGAAAGAATCCTACTCAACAGAAATGAACTAAAAACACAACCGGTCATGCTCCAGTACAATACCTTTAAAAAATAGGATTATTAATGGATGACCAATGTCGATTATATGTAGAAGAGACAGACAACAGAAAATATCTTATGCAACTGTCAACTATGGCATCTGAGAAAACTGTTCTTGAGCTATGTAGACCTTGAGATCTTTCTAAAGTATTCCAGGAATTCGGTTAGTACAGATCACCTCAATAGACAAACGTATAAGTGCTAAAAGAATCTTTCAAAATGAAGGAAAATGTACTTCAATTCCCCCTCTGAAGGAAGATAAGAGAAACTTTTCTGTTGCATTTTGAGTGTACAAACACCTGAACTTCGACATACTATTCATGAATCACTCTGTATGGACAAAAATCAAAATAAATTTAACACCCAATAACACTTAATGGTATAGAATATAATAAATAAAACAGCAATAAACAATGTTTTTTTTCTCTCAACAAACCTCTTTTTCAGAGTATAACGATTTAGCGACAATGTCCAGAAGCATTCTCGTTTCTGCTTGGAATTCAAATTTTTGTCCAGGACCCTGAGATACTAAATAAATTGTACAATTAAAACTTTATTGTCTACATGAAGCAATATTTACTATAATTAGGGGGGGAAAAGGTATTCTGTGATGTGAGTTTTTGAATATATGCAAAATATGTATTACCATCCTCTTTCATACTTGGCTCTGCGTTGGTACATAATGTCCTTATCCAATTTCCATTAGCTACAACAGAATAAACACACTTATTAACAGAAGAAACATATAACAATAAGTTTAACATAAAATTAAAATAACTATTAAAAAAAAGGTAATTTATCTGGAAACTGACTGGTAAGAGTGTAATAAACATTTAATGCACATTCTTGTACACAGCACAGTTTTCCTAAAATGATACAATTTTTTTATATTTTCCTTAAATAAAAGATTGTTACTTTTTGTGATAAAGAATATTAATCTTATTCAGGAACCTGGTTCATCCTCCCATAAAAAGATAGGTAAACCAGGATGATCAGACTAATTGTACATTCAATTAATTAAGGTTTTAAGTTGAGATAAAAAAGTCAGTGTCACGAGCGGGATTCGAACCCACGACCCTCGGCTTGATACGCTGCTACTATACCACTTGAGCTATCATGACTTCGATCCCCTCGGGCACCAACTTCCCATCTCAACTCCACCTTTTTGAATTTTCCCTCCTTTTTGCCATTTTTCAAATTCGAATCCCGCTCATGACACTGACTTTTTTTATCTCAACTTAAAATCTTAATTAATTGAATATTATTGGTCAAGCAGACCACGAAAAATAGTGAATCTAATTGACAACATATTGACACAACTACAACTTTGACTAATATTGGCTAGATGAATAATTATACATTTTTTCAATATACATTTATTCTCAGTCACTACAACATGAAATCAGCAACTAAATAAAATCATATAGAAAGTGAAAATTGCCACTGGTAGGAGCCTTAGGGAAAAGCTGGGGACTCAACTGAAACATGTTCCTAAGATTAAACAACTGTTTGCTGGACATATGAATTAGCTATGAATCAGTGGTTTGGTGGAAAAAGATATTACAGCCAAGGGTGTTCAGGATTCTCAGTACTGCTCAGAGCATACCTGAGCATCACCGGGACGATGAGAAAGACCCCCCCCCCCCAATCCTCCTGGAAGTCCTCTGACTCTACCACTACACATTTTCTTCCAGGGAGAAGCTAGAAGCACAATTCACAGGCTGATGCAGGATCGATAGCTTATTTGCATAACAATGACAATTAAAGCATCAGGCAGACAAGCTTTTGGGTAAACCTGTTGATGCCATGACCCCAAAATTCAGATTTGATAAAAAATTTCAAATTATTGGGTTGTCTGGAAAATAATGCAGGTTTTCATGTTTTCTTTCAACTACCCCTCTATATAATCAACTATTTACGCTTGATGGATTATTTTTTTGTATGAATGTCAACACTTTTTAATACCCTTCCAAACAAAAATGCTTGTTTACCTCAGTAGCATTTTGTTAATTGGGAATAATTCATTATTTACTAAGATGTCAACATGTGATTTTCGTTTTTCGAGTTTAAACTATATTGAAACAGTGCCTAAAAAGCCAGAAAATTTAATGAAGTCTGGGGCGATGCCAGAGAGAGAGCACCGTTCAAGATGGTTTAAAAAAATTCAAGAGGGAGACCTTAGCCTTGAAGAAAGAGAAGATCGGGGAAGGATTTCTTCCCTAGATGATGATGTTATGCGAGCTTTGGAAGAAAATCCCAGATCAACTGTTTAAGAACTCGCACAGAATCTTTCAGTTAGCAAATCGACTGTCGCTGACCAATTTAAGGCAATTGTACAGGTGAAAAGGTCGAAAGTTGGATTCTTCTTGCATTAAATGACAACCAAAAAAATCATCATTTGAAGTTGGCGTAACACTTCTTTGTCAAAACAAAAACACCTTAGAAGTACGTAAGAAGAAGCAGCACCACTAAAGCCCCGAATCATTAAAATGATGACTTTTTGGTGGACTTCATTTGGGCTGATTTACTACAGCTTCTTGCATCCTGGGAAAACAACAATGCTGAAATATAAGCCTTGGTCAACATGCTACTGTCTTTCATCCAGACACTGTGACTATCACACTAAGCCAAGGAGACTAAAAGGCTAGGTATTATTAACATATTAACAAAAGAATAGCCACATACTTAGACAGCTACACTAAGGGTAACTACTTTATCGGTAATACCGTCCAGAGCAGTTTGGGACTGCATCAAAACCCTGTCAGAAATTGGGGAAAACAACAAAATTACCCATGTCTGGGTACGAGGCACACAGGACAGAGAGGGCAAAGAAGAGGACAATAAATTGGTTGATTAGGACACCTATTGGTTCCTTTTGAAGCATACCGAACTGCTAAAAACACAGATCAGACAATGGATTAAAAAAAAAAAAAATAGTCCAGTACAAAGGCTTGCGACAAAGTACATCAAAGGCGCTGATGAGGACACCTATTTGCCCTGAAACCTTCTGTGGCATAGCAAATTGCCAAAAATGTAGATCAGACAAGGGGGAAACATCATCCTTGATTATGTACCAGGACATATAAAGCAGAAGGCAAACAAGAGGCTGATAAATTGATCTATGAGACAATTATTGGTCCTGAACCCCAAACTGCAAAAATATAATAGAAAAATAAGTATACTCAATGGGATTGTGTTTGACAGATACATGTGAAAAAGTTCATCATAGGACTGTTGCAGGAACTAACAGAACTACAAATTCTAAAACATGTTAAGACTAGAATAACAGATTGATTGCTAACTGCAAACTACAGACTCCAGAGGTATATAAACTCAAGGCAGCAGATATGAGCAGAGGGACAACACAGACACTAATAAATTGGTCGATGAGGACACCTGTTGGCTCTGAACCCTTTTGTGGCATACCAAACTGAGAGTATATGGAGCAACAAGCGCCTAGAAGAGAACATCAATTGGAATGCAGTTATGTTTACTGATGTCACGCTTCTGTCTTTATAGAAGAGTCTACCGAGAACAAAGCCCCAGTTCGTGGTCCCTTCTTTGCAGTTTGGAGGAGACAGTGTAATGGTCTGGGCAGGGATTTACACTGGAGGACGATCTGGCCTTTTTATTGTTGATGGCAACCAGACCACAGTCCGCAATGCCAGACCTCAGAGAGGCAGAGTTGTTCATCTATGTTTACAAAACCTGGGAATTTCCCATCTCCTCCTTCCCCCATTGTCTACAGATCTCAATCCCAATGAGGCGAGAAGTCTTTTTGATCACCATCCACAGCCAGTTGACCTGCAACAACTGAGTGCAGTGTTGCAACATGTAGTGAAATTCTTTATGAAATTTGTGACGTTATTAACAGTATGCCTAACAGGCCCAGAGGTTTCAGATAACAGAAGACATTATACACGGTACTGTTTAAAAAAATTATTGTGTCCAATAAACAAAATTATGAAATTAAAACCTTTTATTTTGTTATTTTTCTATAAATTAAGTTTTCCTTCAGTAAGGAAACAATAATTTCTAATAGAATTAGAATTACGAGACCTCCTAGGAGGCCCTTTGGCCTCTCCCTGATGGATCAGGGGGAGTCATCTATTGGTGCCTGAGCAACCCCAAGGTTGGGCTCTGATCGGGGCCATCAACTTCTTTTGTCATTTCGGCACCCTTACATTCCCTAAATAATTTCTAATAAATTTTAATGCAATTTATAATAAAAAAAAAAAAAATGCTAGGGAATATACTACAAAATTGGCAATATCCATATTCAGTTTTGAGCAGTTTAGACTCGAGGCAGCAGAAACAAGCCTGCACAGATGCTGTCAGTAAGAAGACAGCAGAACATGTGTGGTTTATGCTGGATGAGATACCTACACATGTGCTTGAAGATACTCACAGAAGTCCTTAAGAAAGCTTTAAGAAATGGTAAAAAGTCATAGATAATAATGGAGATAAACAATAGACCAATAATGGTTGTTATGTCTAAGTCATAGAGGCCCTTTTAACCGGTCAATATATGTAAAGTTGAAAAATTGAGTTGAGATTTGACATTTTACATTACGGACAGCTGTAGAAGGTGAATGACAAAGACTTTTTTTTCCTCTATCTACCTCGTTTTACAAAATTATTCACATAAGAAAAAATTTTTTAAACTTACAATGTGTCTTGCACGCGCTTAAGTTTCTTGAAGTCTGGCTGTAGTATGTCCTGTAGATGTATCTGGCCAACTTCGGAGAACGGTACTTTCTTAGGGCAACCAGTGGCCGAAAGCATTCTCTCACAGCGGACATTCCGACTTAAATTCGTAAGTTTAAGTCAAAAAAGCCGGATTTATTCGTCTGTGTAGCGGTTGTGTAATGAAATGTGCACACACGAAACCTCACAGTTGATAACGGCGAAGGTCTCGGCCAACGTCCCGATTGACTGAACTACGACGTAACACGGGGCCGACGCGAAAAATACAACGTAAAATAATTTGGTGGCTAATCACTTCGAAAAATTTGTCTAGACTGGACTAATCGTCTCCTTGGAAACGAAAAATAGTTCGCTTTTAATGCAACTGTCCGTTTCCTTGGTAGCTAGTGCACGACTTCGCATCCGAGGACCAGCGAAAGACCAAAGACTCGTCCAGATATCTCCATTTTATAAATCGAGGAATTATGACTATCCTTTCCTCCACCGACCTTAACTTCTGTAAATCATTGCCATACCTTGGAAAGTGCGCTCTTTCTTATAAGATATATCAGCACGTTCCTAGGTGCCTCTTCGCGCACCTCTTTGGTGTGACCTTGCCGAAGTGACTACCGTAACTGAGCTAGTACTTCACATTCACAAAGGACATGTGCCGATGTCCCTGGTTCCTCCTGACAGAGCCGGCAAGTTTCCGCCTCAGCTATGCTTAAGGTAGTTAAGAGGGCAGTGGCCAGTATAGAAGTCTACCATTTTCCTCAAATCCTACCTGTTGAGAAGTTCATTCGTTTTACTTTTTGTGAGATTTATGAATGTCTTAGTTTGCCTCATACCTGGTGCGTTTGAGTTTTTTCTTTTTCAATCTATTATTCCTATTCCAATAAGCACTTAGTTGTGGTTCTGATCCCATGGGTGAGAGGGGTGCTTCTTTTTTGGCTAGTCGGTCAGCCAGTTCATTTCCTTCTAAGCCTTCATGTCCAAGGTGGCATTAAGGTAATCTATACTTTTTAAAAGGATAGTTCCTACTCACAGTAAGTTGTTTTGCACGACCGGATTTCGAGCCTTTTAGCTCATCATCAGGTTGAAGGACTTCTGCAACCACGTCTCTCGACATGAATTGCCCAAGTGAAACCGCTGATACCTCCGCCAACGCGACGTTCCAATTATCAGCTGATTTTTTTTAATGACGCTCAATTTGAACGTGCAAAACGCGGAAATTATAACACAAATAAATATTAGAATAATAAATACTTAATATTACTATAAATTACTATAAAAATAATAACAATTAAAATAATTAGTTTAATTATTTGGATGTTTGATATTATTTATGTACATATTTAAAATNGTTAAAAGAAATTGCAAGCCATTGGGGAATTTGGTCACTACGCCGGTTTGTTATCACTCTATAATCGACCACAAATTTATCCACACATACACAAACACTCACGCTAATAAATACTTTCATAAAAAAAGACAACCTGTCAAACAAAATGTACAATTAAAAGAAATTGCAAGCCATTGGGGAATTTGGCCATTGCGTCGGTTTTTTATCACTATAATCCACCACAAATTTATCCACACATACACAAACACTCACACTAATAAATACTTTCATATTAAAAAAGGCAACCTCTCAAACAAAATGTATAGTTAAAAGAAATTGCAAGCCATCTGGGTATTTGGTTTTATGCGAGTTTCTCACTATCAGTCACTCTATAATCCACCACAGATTTACCCACACATACATAAACACTCAGGCTAATAAATACATTCATACTAGAAAGGAAATCGTTAAAAAAATATGGTCAGCTAAAAGAAATTGCGAGCCATTGGGGAATTTGATCATTACGCCGGTTTTTTATCACTGCATAATCCACCACAAATTTAACCACATACTTAAACACTCACGCTAATAAATATCTTCACAGAGAAAAGGCAACCTATCCAACAGAATGTAAAGTTAAAATAAACGGCAAGCCATCGTGGTATTTGGGTTTTACGCCGGTTTCTCACTGTCAATCACTCTATAATCCATGACAAATTTACCCACACATACCAAAACACTCACGCTAATAAATACCTTCATAGAGAAAAGGCAAACTTTCAAACAATATGAACCGTTAAAAGAAATTGCGAGCCATCGGTGTATTTGGGTTTTACGCCGGTTTCTGACCGCCAATCTCACTATAATCTGCCACAAATTTACCCTCACATGCCCATTCACTCACGCTAATAAATATATTCTTACAAAAACTTAGAAACCGATGTCTAAAGGTTTTATTTAAGCTGTCAGCATTTGATTTTTTTCAATCAATAACGTAAAAACTTGAATTTTCCGTAGCGAGCCACGAGAACAAAGCCTCGGTTTTGCTAATTGCAGAAGGCGGTTAATGAAACGCGTGATGTTCGCCAATGAATCAATAATTTCTCCTGCTAATCAACCATTATCGTCCAACCACCACAGTTTCGGCCCTTTGTCTTTAAATCGAACTGTATTCTTGCCGGGACTCCTATCCTAATAGAAATTGCACCCCTGATTCGTTCATTGGAATCGACAAATCGGGCGCTCCATTGTCCGCAAACGGACGTTCTGCTCGGCAAGTTGTATTCCGAAATGAAACTTCCCCCGACAAGAGGAAATACGATTCAAATTTACAATTTCCCACTTCTGAGAAAACGATGGAGATAGAAGCCGGTTGTAAACGTAACTTCCTGTTTACAGCGTAGAGAAGAGGTATTTTTATTTTTTATTTTTCGCCCTAGGCATTATAAATCTCGTATGATTTCAACTACGAAAATACACCATCTAAAGAAGTAAATTGTCACGACGCAAACTGCTCCGGAAATCAGGTATAATATTGTGTGTAAAGGAGTATCGGAAAATACAATTAGGGAAGGTAAAGGCTCACAGCAGCATATTTAGCAACGATATGGCAGATGAAGCTACTAAAGAAGCCGCCTTAGATCCAGAAATTAAAAACCCTACAAAGAAGAACACTTCCTACCCGATCCTTATAACCTATCCAGATATCTAATGGATCGCTGCTTAAGTGAGGTGAGGTAATGATTTTTCAGAGATAAAAATGATCCGGTGTCTCACAAGGAGGCATCCTTGGTCCCATCATGTGAACAATTTATACTGCCTAACGTTAAAAAAAGGTTAATTTGAACTTAAAAAGGGCGAATTTGACGTAGGAAAGCTATATACTGAACAGACAAGCAGAGTACTGTTAATATTAAAGCATAATTACTATTTTAATAACTAGGTAAATGACGTAAAAAATCTTCGATCGATCAGAATAAAGTAATACTCCAACACGTCAACCCCCGCCATGTAATTAGGTAGCGGTTTGCCTAACCCTGCTTACAGATTTTTTATTCACAACTGTAATGATAATTTAAATTCACTAGTTCGTGGTCCGCTTGACCAATTAATATATTACAATTAATTAAGGTTTTCAGTTGAGATAAAAAAGTCAATGGCACGAGCGGGATTCGAACCCACGTTCTTCGGCTTGATACGCTGCTGCTCTACCACTTGAGCTATCGTGACCTCGATCCACTCGGACACTAACTTCCCATCTCAACCACACCTTTTGAATTTTCCCTCCAAAATGGCAAAAATGAGGGAAAATTCAAAAGGTGTGGTTGAGATGGGAAGTTAGTGTCCGAGTGGATCAAGGTCACGATAGCTCAAGTGGTAGAGCAGCGGCCTATCAAGCCGAAGATCGTGGGTTCGAATCCCGCTCGTGCCATTGACTTTTTTATCTTAACTGAAAACCTTAATTAATTATAATTATAATTACCATCAATTAAATTTCGTGGTCCGATTGACCAAATAACCTCTTTCAATTAATTAATCTTTATGTAAGGTATTGGTTGAGATAAAAAGTCAGTGTCAGGAGAGGGATTCGAACCCACGAACTTCGGCTAAATACGCCCCTGCTCTACCACTCGAGGACCACGAAAACTAGTGAAGTCCCATTCACTGATGAGACGATCTGCCCTATTCACTGATGAGACGATCTGCCCAAAGGTGACGTAGCTCAAAAGAGTCTGGAGAAGACCTGAAGGTAATGCGGGCATGGTCGGCACCGGCATATCAGACACGCCGGAGAGCCTGCAGCACCCACTGGCCGTCTATCAATCGATTTGGAGGTGCCGGAATGAGCCTACAGTATGAGCGTATCGATGCACTCTGCCAGCAACTTAAACTGGACAGACTATCCGTGGAATGGCCAGTATAGCTGGAATAGCACAGGAAACTGTCGACAACAGCGGTACCACGCTGACTTTCTAGAGTCTGTTTTACGGCTCCAGTATGAGGGACTTACTGAACGCCGGCGTCAAAGGATACTTCGCTTATCTCAAGTATGCCAGCGGTGTTCCTCGTAACCATATACAGGAGCTGGATACAGCCACTGCATGTGAAAACAGTGATATTTGGGGTAAGTTTTATCTTCTTCTGGGGAGGCAGTTTTTCTGGGGCACCGAGCTGGTACCAATCCAAAAGCTTTGAACGTCTTATGGTCAATCTTTTATGCCTTTCTTAGGCTGATCTTGCATAAGGCAACATGTGTATCTGAACACCACATGTATCCAACCTCTTGCCAGGAGAAACAATGACATTTGGTTGGAGGGGCGGCTATCACGTTGGCAGGAGGCATTTTGGGGAGGCAGCAAGCCGGTTCCAATCCAAGGGGAGTCTTCAATTGCCTTAAGATATGAGCAGATGATCATACAAGAACGGACAGGTTTCTACAATCTTGAATGGCAAGGTAGAAGTCCCAACCTTAACCAAACACGTTTGATACAATCTCAAAGAAAGATTTCCAGATCAAACGGTTGAAATGCTGTAGACTCTGAAGAGTAGGACAACGTATTCCAGGTTTTTCACTTATTAACTTTAACATGAACTTTTCTCACCGCCTGATAGTTGGCACCCAAAATTCGTCGTCCGGAAGGATGAAGGAAAATATTGGTCCTCATTGGCTCATCCCTCCCATCCGTGTTCCGGACGCCGAAGGATGGGTAAGATGAAAATAATAAAGCTAGGTGTTTTGCGAAGTCCAGAGAGGGAGAATCAAATAATCTTAATATTCTGGTGATTATACTTCTTTATATATAATTTATGAAAGCTCAATTTTATACACAAAAATGACACATCTGCACAGAAAACACGCTTTGAGTGAGTACAAATACTTTGATTAAACCTAAACTTTCTATATTGTGTACATCATTGTATAAATTCATATTAATATCTGATACGTATTTGTATAATTTAAACAATGTTTATAAATCCCAGGCCCTGAAGATGATCTCAATAAAGATCGAAACGTTGGCACGATAAAGAAAATGTTTTTCTAAACCCACATCACACCATACCGCTTCTCACGATCTCTAAATTATCATTAACTAACGGTCACTAAACACCATACATTTTAT